AACGGCATAACTCAATAAATAAGTAGCGCCCAGTTACCGCGCGCAAGCCAGAGGTTTATAGATTCGTTTGAGCTATTAGTATTACATGTGACGCTAGCTGTGTCGATGGTTGGATACCGAGCCAACTACAAGGAATTGTGGGCAAGAATTTGAAACGGTATCTAACCCTAGCAATACCGTTTCTTGGAGCTAGGGGCGTTCCCAACTTTAATGACATTGATCATCAATATCATCATGTCGTGATATAAAAGAGATATAAAGGGGGGGGGCGGATCGATATAAATTAGATATCAAGGGGTGGTTAGATATGAAATTGATATCAAAGGGGGGTTATATATAACGATATAAAAGAGCTATTTAACTTGCGCGCCTTGGCTGCGCGAGCAAGCGAAATACAGAGCGGGTGCATGTTCGCTTTGTTTTGCTGGACTTCGCTGGGCTTTGTTGCTCGAGCACACGAAATACAGTGGGGGCATGTTCGCTTTGTTTCGCTGGACTTTGCCAGACTTCGTTGCTCGAGCAAGCGAAATCGAGACGAGGGATATGTTCGCTTTGTTTTGCTCGCCTTCGCTGCATGAGCAAACGAAATATAGAGTGGGGGGCATGTTCACTTCATTTTGATCGACTTCGCTGGACTTCGCTGGTCGAGCACACGAAATACAGAGTGGGGGCATGTTCGCTTTGTTTAGCTGGACTTCGCTGGACTTCGTTGCTCGAGCACGCGAAATCGAGACGAGGGATATGTTCGCTTCGTTTCGCTCGCTTTTGCTGCGCGAGCAAACGAAATACAGAGCAGGGCCATGTTCGCTTCGTTTTGCTCGACTTTGCTGGACTTCGCTGGTCGAGCACACGAAATACAGAGCGGGTGGCATGTTCGCTTCGTTTCGCTCGACTTTGCTGGACTTCGCTGGTCGAGCAAGCAACATTGAGAGGGGGGTATGTTTGCTTTGTTGCGCTGGACTTCGCTGGTCGAGCAAGCAAAATTGAGACTAGGGTATGTTCGATTCGTTTTGCTGCACTTTGCTGGTCGAGCAAGCAAAATTAAGACTGGAGTATGTTCGCTTTGTTGCGCTGGACTTCGCTGGTCAAGCAAGCAAAATTGAGACTGGGGTAGGCTTCGTTTCGCTGGACTTTGCTGGACTTCGTTGCTCGAGCAAGCGAAATCGAGACGAGGGATATGTTTGCTTCGTTGCGCTAGACTTCGCTGGTCGAGCCAGCAAAATAGAGACCAGGGGTATGTTCGCTTCCTTGCGAGGAAGAGAGAGGGAGAACGAGAGAGAGGGAGAGGAGAGAGAGATGGAGGGAAAGAGGTCGAGTGAGAGAGAATGAGAGAGAGAGAGAGAGAGAGAGAGATAGAGAGGTCGAGTGAGAGAGGGATAGAAGGCGAGAGATGGAGAGAGGGAGTTAGAGGGAGAGAGAAAGAGGTAGAGTCAGAGAGAGAGGGATAGTGTGGAGATAGTGAGGGAGTTAGAGAGTTAGGGGCAGTGAGATGATGAGATGTGTGGTGTGGTGTGTGTGAGGTGGTGAGGGAGAGAGAGAAGGAGAGAGAGAGAGCGGAAGAGTGTGTGTGAGAGAGAGAGGGAAGACGAGAGAGGAGAGAGTGGTGAGAGGAGAGAGGGAGAAGGGGCGAGCGAAAAACGAAGCAAGATGCGCGGCTTGCTATTTGGCTTGCTTGTGTCGTGTGTGTGTGGCGATAGGTGAGTAAGTGCGAAGCCAGGATGCCCCGTGTATGTGTGTGGCTCTATTTGCTTGTCGCGCAATGAAGGTGAGTAAACAGATGTGAACATGTCCAGATGCCCGCCGCTCTTGTATTTCCGTTGTCGAGCACGCTGAGGCGGTGATCGTGACATATAGAAGTTGCGTGTGCGTGCGAACATGGCCGCCAGCTCTGGTATGTTCGCTTGCATCGAGCCAGCAAAGTGGGAGCGAAAAGAAGCACATGCCCCCGTCTGTATTTTCGCCTTGCTCTGGCAGCGAAGGGGTGTGAGCGGGGAAAGAGAGAGAACATGGCCC